GTGTATCCTGCCTTCCACCCAATGACTGCTGGGATAGGCTCCAGCTCCCCCCGCGACCCAGAAGGATAAGCGGCTTAGAAGATGTATGTGTGTGTGTTTGTAATCATTTAACCATGATGGATGAATTTCATACAAAAAGAGAAACGTTTTACTTTGACTTGCACTGAAAATGTAAACATTGTGAGCGTTTTGCCCGACTAATAAATGAGGTCAAACTCAATATTTTGGCAAAAAAAAAATGAGTCACTAGTTGTAGTCAGTAGCTGTACCACTACAGGTTGGCCCACAGGTCGGAAACCACTGGCTAACTGTATATATTATCTATATAATCACATGCTTGCCTGAAACCAGGTTGAGTTGCTAAGTAATCTCAAATACATGTGCTCATCACTTTTATCATATAACATTACAAACGTTACTTTGTTCATACATCCATACATATGCAGAGTGCACTGCCACTTTGTTTATACATCCATAAATATTCCATCTGCCACTTGTTCATAAACCCAGGCATATTGCACAATTTTATTATATATCTTTACCCCTTCTGTTTATGCATCTGTATAATAGCACACAGCAATACTTCACTCGTTTTGCACTTTACTGTATGTTGTGCTGCTGTAATAGATGACTTTCCCTCTGGGATTAATGAAGTGATCTATCTATCTATCTATCTATCTATCTATCTATCTATCTGTCTGTCTGTCTGTCTGTCTATCTATCTGTCCATCTGTCTATCTATCTATCGATCCGTCTGTCTGTCTATCAATCTGTCTGTCTGTCTGTCTATCTATCTGTCTGTCTGTCTGTCTATCTATCTGTCTGTCTGTCTATCTATCTGTCTGTCTATCTATCTGTCTGTCTATCTATCTATCCGTCTGTCTGTCTATCTGTCTATCTATCTATCTATCTATCTAACATTTACATGTTTTGACTCTTTCATAAAAACGGGCCAACAGAAATGATAAAGTAAAATCTCATTATCTTACATTAAAAGCCAACAATCGGGAAAACTACACTGTTATCCATAAGGGGGGAGCATTTGGGAATATTGTAAATTTTTTGCCCATTTACTTCTTAAAATATTTCCACTTATTTTTAAACATTTCTACAGCTCAACTGTTTCAATTAAAAAAACCTCATTCAGAGCGGTTTGATGTGAAAGGGTTCACTGTAGACAAACTTATCAACGTACATTTCTTTACAGTGGTGGTGATGGGAATCAGGGGTTGCAACATCTACAGCGCAAATACAGCCATTTTATTTACTATCCAAAATGACCAGTGAACCCACACGTGTCTTCTGACCTTTGCATGTAATGTTGATAATAGCAAAATAGTGATAAATCTGACAAATATACGTTTTCTTTGGGACCGTTTTGCCTCACAACATCCTGCATGTACGTCTCCACCAAGAGTGTATTTAAAAAAGAACATTGCCAGGCCAAAATCTTATCATAAAACTATTATAAAACAATGTCTCACACATCAGACATAACTATTACATGTAATAGCTTTCTATGACAGCAGTGGTCCTCAACCCTGGTCCTGAAGGCCAACAGCTCTGCACATTTTAGTGTTTTTCCTGTTTCCAACACACCTGATACATCTAATAAGCTCATTAATAACCCCTTACTGAGCTGAAATGGGAGTGTTAAATAAAGGAAGCACTATAATGTGCAGGGCAGTGGGCTTCCAGGACCAGGGCTGGGAAACAATGTTGAGGTGTTAAGCCACTTAGATGTTGGGTTACTCTTGCAGTCCTGACTCTGAATGACTTACCGTTAATGTTAACTTTATACCAAGTTAACTGTGGTCTTGACCCTGTTCCTACTTCCCTCCTTAGGATGGCTTTTGATGTTCAAAATGATGTTTGGATTATTGTAAACTGTCCTCTGTTGACAGGTGCTTAAAACCGCCCTGATGAAGCCTCAACTAACAAAGTGTAGCAAAGTGTACCCTTTTGTACTGAATCGCTTTAGAGCAATTTCCAACCGTCCACAGGTTAATCCACCACTGCTTATGCCTCTCAGGCACAGTTTTAGAATGGTTTAAATCATACTTAAAGAAAAGACAGTTCTTGGTTTCACCGGGAAATCATTCCTCGAGAAAATATAACATTTCTTGTGGAGTCCCACAAGGTTCAGTGTTAGGGCCTTTTCTTTTTTCACTTTTTTCTTTCTGTACGTTTCCTCCAGGCCAGTGGTGTCCAATCTTATTCACAAAGGGCCTTTGTGGCTGCAGGTTTTCATTCCAATTGAGCAGGATCACACCTGAGTCCACTTATTTATTTGTTTAACTGCTCAGTCTTCAAACAACCGATCATGTGAGCCCCTGCTTCGCTGGAATGAAAACCCCCAGCCACACCGGCTCTCCGGCTTTGCGTAAGATTGAACGCCCTTGCTCTAAGTGATGTCATTAGGAAACATGTCAGTTTTCATAGCTACGCTCATGACATGCAATTATACATTTCCATTCCTTCTGATAACCAAAACTCTGTCGACAGGCTTACCAACTGTCAGTGGGTGTCACAAAAATTTTTTTGTCAGGAAAAACCTGGAATATTGATCCTTCGTACTAAAACTCTGAGAAAATGAGAAGTTCAGTTCTTTAGTTTTATATACTAAACCTCAAGTACAAAACCTGGGTGTAATTTTAGATCCTGAGTTTTAATGTCAGGCTCTTTTTACTGGGCTTCCTAAGAAAGCAGTCCATCTACAACTCGTACAAAATCCAGCAGCATGGATCCAAACAAAGGAGCTCATATCACCCCCATTTTGAAAGAGCTGCACTGGCTGCCTGTGTCTTTCAGGATCGATTTTAAAGTTCTGCTGCTAGTTTTTAAGGCTCTGGATGGCCTTAAAGCTCCGCTTACATCACAGAATGTCTCCTTGTTTATGTTCCACCGCGTGATCTTAGATCTGAAGATACTGACCTTCTGCAACAACCTTCAGTAGAATACAGAAAATGTAGAGAGACTCTTTCAGTTATTATGCTTCTAATCTGTGAACTCACTTCCACCTTTTATTAGACAGTCAAACTCAGCACAGTTTTAAGAAACATTTAAAACTAAAACTTTAACTCAGCATTTAATTAAAATTCTACGTCTCTTTGATATTTAGTTTCTTCTATGAGTGTTAAGCTTTATCACCTGTCTGTAAAGCACTACTACTACTACTAATAATAATAATAATAGTAATAATGAAAATAATGTTGCAGAACTGCTGGAATTGTCTTTAGTCTTAGGCGTCAATGTTAGTGTTGGATCCATAGGTGGATTCTTTGACATAAGAAGCCAATCAAGACAAGCCTCTCAGTGTCTCTCAGGTAACTGGACCTGTCTATGGATCAATGGCCAAGCCACCTGTGGTCAGACTTTCAAAACTAGGAGGGCCAGTTTCAACTAAGAGCCCCAAAACAACGGAGAAAGCTTTCTATTGTGAGTCAACTCTGAAAGGACATCACAAGCAGCATACTAATGTTGGCTTCTAATCACTTTAAGCTGCAACATCATACACTGATTAGCCAGTATAACTTTCCAGTGCTTTAACTGTAGCACTACTGTATATCACTGCTGTCGGAAGAAAACCTCGTATATCCATTTTTGTCGTTTTTCAGTTTTTGACATAATTTGAACATTCCTGTTGCCCTTTACATTGTGTGTAAATTTCATGAAGAATGGACCAAAAGAAACGGCCCAAAATGACTTGGAAAAAATTCTGGTTCCATTGACTTACATTAAAAGTAAAGTATGTTTTTTCCCTCTCCTGTAAAGTTGCCATTTTGGAGATCCGAGGTTTTCTTCCAACAACAGCGATATGTAAAATATAATGCTGAGTAGAGTATCTTAAGTCATACTCGAGTAAAAGTACTGTTACTTTAATGAAATAATGACTTAAATGAGAGTAAATTTAGCTTGAGTAGGAGTTTAAAGTACCAGGTCAAAAAAAGTACTAAGTTCCCTTCAGAGCTGCCGTGGAACTTCTTAGTACATCCAGCATCTATCGGCATAGGAACCAACGTTTCTTAGGCTCTATAACTACATCTCTTTTTGGAATACGTGTAGTCTGAAGCGAAGGGGAACTCCACCAATTTTTCAGCCATTTAGAGTGGTTTGGTGTGAAATGCTCTGTTCTAGAGAAACTTGCCGAGTCAGAACTGTTCACAGTGGTGGTGATAGGAACCAGACGTCTGAGGAGCTTAAAGGCCTCTGAAATCTCCCTCACACAAAGTTATTACATGGTTATGAATACACTGCCTGGTGTCTGACACGACAGTTTTGTGATAAAGTTTTGGCGTAAATTGTATTTAATCCGTTCATGGCAGAGGGGTAGACGTAGGACGATGTAAGACAAAATAGTCCCCCATAAAAACTTATGTTTTTCAGATTTATGCCTATTTTATAATCATCAACATTACATATAACAACTCAGAAGACTTATGTAGGCTCACTGGTGGTTTTGGATATTAAATAAAATGGCTATATCTGTGTCGTAGACATGGTGACACCTGGTTCCTATCAGCACCAATGTAAAGAAATCAGCCTGTAAATTTCTCTACAATGAACCACATCAAACCACTCTGGATGACTCTGTTTACAGACTCAATCATTCAGAAAATGTTAAAAAATGGTGGAAATGTTACTTTAATAAAGCTCAATAGTTAAAAGTGTGAGTAAGAGTAAAGCAGTGCAGGTTTCTGGAACTGGAACAAAGAAGAAATTAGGACTACTTTCCTCACAAACATTCATTTTGAGCAGCAAAGCTAGAAAACGCAGCTACTTCTCACGTCAAAAACAGGAATATGAATGAAAGGCTCCACTGATTCAGCTCAGCTCAGTTTTTTTCCTCTTCAGAGCTTCTTTATGGATATAATTCGTTTAATAAAACCTCTAAACTAATAAGTCTCACAGCTTCTTGGTGAAAAGACGCTAAACGGTCAGTGTTTTTAGCCCTGACTGAAGGTTAACAGCGCAGCGCGGACTAATCTCGGAGACCTTACCGTTTTCTGCTTCTTGTTTCCGGACATGTCGAGGCACTCGGACTGCACTTGGGACCCGGAGAGCGGAGTGTGTGTGGAGTTATGCCTGGACGCGACCACTACGAGGACACAGAGGCTTTTTAAAAGACTGTGGAGACACGTAGCCGTCCAGCAGCCCTCCCCATTCCCCTATTCCCCAATTCCCTCCTCCTGAGCTGTAATCTGCATGCGGGTGAATGGAGATCAGTGTGACACCGGTGTAACCGGCGTGAGGAGCTCCACCAACATAGCAGAGCAGAACCGCTGGAGACTTAGTTTAGTCTGAGATTAGCTGTTGTCTCATTCGAAAAAACCTTTCTAACTGGAATTGGCTTCACTAGTTTCCAGTGGTGGACACAAATCATGTACTTGAGTTAAAGTAGAGAGACCCAAGGTAAAATATTACTGCAGTAAAAGTAGAAGTTCCTCCCTTTAGACCTCCACTTGAGTAAAAGTACAAAAGTATTTGCCTTCAAATGTACTTAAGTATCTAAAGTAAAAGTACTAAAAGATTAATTATGGCTCTGATGTCCTATTATCATTTCTGTAACAAGACTCTGCTTCATTAACTCATTTTAGGTGAAAATACTCCAGTGTCTCTCTTGGTAAACCAGTCTTTTAATAGAATGTCATTAATTAGTGACGCTGATGTCTATTAAAATGATCATAAACACAAAACACTGAAGGCAAACAGTTTCCATCAGGTAGAACTGAGTGGCTCTGAAATCACTTCTTACAAACAAGCAAAGTTTCAGTTTAGGATTTATTTGAACTTAGTTACAGTTTAAGATTAATAAAAACTTTAAACTCAGATTCACAAATGAGTTTCCTTTACTAAACTGCATCTGTAGGTCTCTGTTTATAAACATAAACCAGCCAAAACTAATTTACTATAAAATGAAATGTGTTTGTATAAATTCAGAAAAAAGACACGTCAGTCACAACTGCATATGTGTACATATTTCTATATTGTGGTCTATTTACACAAAGTTAGGTTAGTTCATCATTTATGTTGAATAGACTCTCCCGAAATTTTACGCTGCTGCACTGATGTTGAACCGTGTGCTGCACTGGGTCGGTATGACCAACAGGTCAAAACAAGCTCAAAACAAAGTGACCGCTGTGCCCTGATTGGTGTTCTTACTTCACACTTCTTTCGTTTTGACATGTTACGTTTTTATACACACATAAACCAAAAGGAACGACAGATTTCTCAGAATGTAGTGGAGTAAAAAGTGAGATATTTGACTTTGAAATGTGGTGGAGTGAAAGTGAAAAGTCGCTCAAAATGGAAATACTTCAGTAAAGTACAGATACAGGAAAAAACTACTTAAGTACAGCAACGAATTACATTTACTTTGTTACTGTCCATGACTGCTAGTTTCTTGGACACCTTTAGATCCCATTAGAAACCACCCAGTTAGCAAAATTTGTCTGGCTCACTTGTGGGCCACATCCTTTGTTTGTTCTAGCCCGGTATATGGCTGGGTCCTCAGCCCAGATCTGGCCCACACACTGTAATGTGAGTAGAACTATAGTATATGGCCCAAATCTGGTCCCAGTCTGACCCAACTGCATCATTGGTCCAAAATATTCACGGCAAAATTGTCCCACAAATGTAGACACGATGCAAAATGGTGTGAAGCTGTCCAGGATCTGGCCCTATTCTGGCCCACATGCCCAACATCTACTCGGTAGTCAGCCAACACTTACGTAGGAAAGCCAGAATCGGCCCAAAACTGTCTGCTATCTGGGCATCAAATGAATTTAGAATCAGCCATTGTTCACCTGCTAAACCATTGGCATCCTTTACCCCTGATAGCAAGAGGATAGTGGGCCACTTTCTGATGGCAAAGCTGGCTCAGCATTTTCCAGGCGGTCCACTGGTGGTTAAATGGAGTATTAGAAAAAAATCCAGTTATCATCGCTCATTTTCACTCACCGTCCAATTTACTTATTTTTCCTTCCTTCTTTTCTTTAGTTATACTTTGTAAATTAGTTTACATATATGCTCGCTATCTGGGACATTGTGATATCATCCCATTTAAAAAGCCAAAACACATTATAAAACCAGGAACCAACAGAGACGCTTATGGTTTCTATTTTTTTCAGCACAGACTAGCTGGTCTAAGCTGGCTTGTTGCTAGTTTAGCTGCTCACCCCTGATAGCAAGAGGATAGTGGACCACTGTCGGCCCACTAATGGCAAAGCTGGCGATCCACTGGCATTTTGCTCAGCGTTTTCCGGGCGGCCCACTGGTGGTTAAGCAGAGTATTAGACAAAATTCCACTTATCATCACTCATTTTCCCTCACAGTCCAATTTACTGATTTTTCCTTCCTTCCTTTCTTTAGTTATACTTAAATTAATTTCGTAAATAATTTAAATCCAGCTCAGTGTCAACAACAACATTCTCTATAAATCATTTTATATCAGGCCTAGTCATTTTTTTTTCTCTTAGTTGTTTGTAATATTTGTTTATGTTTATTTTCTAAAATAAAAGTCTCTGTGCATTTAAAATCTGTTTGAGGAGGTTAAAAACTAGTTAGAGCTTGTGTGCAGGACAGTAATCTGGGGGGTCCGAAGGTGACAAACAGTCAGCGGGGTGCCAACCTTATCAAGCCAGCGGACCGATATATGTTCGCTATCAAGGACCCAGCATGGTCTTGCTGGTTGACCAGAACATATGCTGGCCTATGCTGGTGTTTCTAGCAGGGATGTGCTGTCCACAATTCTGTTTCGTGTAATGAAAAGGGGAATTCCACCATTTTTCAAAATTTGTGAATAATTCAGTCCTTGAGATGTAAACAACGTCATTCATTGTAGAGAAACTTACAGACTCAGATCTCTTTACAGTGGTGTTGATAGAAACCAGGGGTCACCATGTCTACAACACAAATATAGCCTTTTTATTAACTATCCAAAAAAGTCTTCTGAGTTTTGTATAAATAAATATATTTAAATAAATATATTTTAAGCCAAAACCTTATCACAAAACTTCATGTCAGGCACCACGCAGCATATCTAACCGTTTCATGTAATAACTTTGTGTGAAGGAGCTTTCAGAGGCATTAAACTCTTCAGACGTCTGGTTCCCACCAACACCAACGTGAGCAATTCTGACTCAGTGGCCTTCCTTTGCCTGTCCCAGACACCTATAACTACACTTTACCTTGAGCTATAATCATTAAATGCTTATTATTATTCTATAGTAAATAATAGAATTATTTTACGTTACTGTGTCAACGTCTCATGCTTGAAAGGTCCCTTTTAATGAGTCATCCATTACAGGCTATGAAAGCTGTACTCTGAAATTCACCCGTATGAAATATCTGGAACTTTCCACAAGTCACATTTTCAAATTACAGTATCTGAATTTCCGGAAGAACCTGGGAGGAAGAAAAATACACCATCTGTTCTTTTTTCTTTATTTACAATGACATTGACTAACAAGGTCACGGTGAAAGTATGACGCTGTTACCCAGATCACAGACTGAAAGTAAATTATTCATTAAAAAAGTAAGTCAGTAGGTAAGTCAGTGTGTCTCTAATGTTATTGCGCTGTTAGTGTGTGTGCTAGTGAACCACATTTTGTGTATTTGTGTAATTTTTTGTGTAATTCTATGCTAAAAAACTCAACCATGTCACTCATATAAGCCATTATCAGTAAATAAACCATATTAAAAATGAGATGGGGCATTTTTTTAATGGTGCATGTTTTTAGACTCAAAGTTGAAAAATGAAAATAAAATTTCATTTTCAAGAGTTGAAAGGGATTCATTGGCAGCCAGTTCATGGAATCAGCCATATAAACTGTGTTGTGAAAAATTACACACAGTAAATCTGCTTCCAAATCCATTTATTTCAAGACCAGCATTGTAAATTATTGCATGGTTCAAATTATTTTTCTCATTTAAAAAAATAAATAAATAAAAATAAACGATTGGTCAGTACAGAGGCAATTAGCTAAGCTTATGCAAAGACATTTGGCCAATCACACACATTTTCTAAACCGCTTATGCCTTTGGGTCGTGGGGGTTGCTGAAGCCTATCCCAGTGGTCATTGGGCAGAAAGCAGGACACACCCTGGACAGGTCGCCAGTCCATCACAGGGCAGACAGACAGACATACACAATCACACCTAGGGGCAATATGGCATCTCCAATTAGCCTGACTGCATGTCTTCAGACTGTGGGAGGAAACCCACACAGACACGGGGAGAACATGCAAACTCAGTAAGGACTCTGGTCACCCGGCCGGGGAATCAAACCCAGGCCATTCTTGCTGTGAGGTGACAGCGCCACCCACTGCAGCACTGTGTTGCCCCATTTGGCCACTGAAGTATTACAATTTTTTAAAAAACCTACATTTTCTTGCTGATGGATCGCTGAGTTTATCTTTTGTTCTACTCACAGTTCTATTTAAGCAGGAAATAAAGTGATATCTAACACTCATCACATACTGGTGGCTTGAGAACCGAACCAATCCAGAGAAGGAGGAAAAGTATGGATATCACAGTGAAATACCCAAATCTTAGTGAAGGCCTTGTTTTTCTTGTCCATAACCTAGTTGGCAGCTTTTCAGCCACTTACAGGAAATCCTGGCTTTAAAATACAAATGAAAGATTGGAAATAAAGTTGTACACTTTTTATCTACTTATCTGGCTGGAGAAGCGATATAGTCCATACCTCGTGAATCACAGATTGCGTAACCATCCGATAACAACGTACATGCTTGAAATGAGAGGAGTTGTGAGTCTGAACAGAACGGTCAGTGCGGTACCAAATTTTATAGCATGAAATAAAATCAAAATAAAGCTCACTCAAAGAAGGAGGCACTGCTTATTCACTGTCTATGAGTATCTGTGAACCATTATGGCAGTTGTTTGTATCACTGCATATTTACACCAATCAGGCATAACATTCTGACCACCTCCTTGTTTCTATGCTCATTGTCCATCTTATCAGCTCCACTTACTATATAGGTGCACTTTGTAGTTCTACAGTGACAGACTGTAGTCCATCTGTTTCTCTGATACTTTGTTAGCCCACTTTTACCCTGTTCTTCAGTGGTCAGGACCTGCAAGGACCCTCACAGAGCAGGTACTATTTGGGT